GTAACTGTCAATTTAAGACTGTAATGTCACCCAGACCTTTATATTAATTCTCCTAGGGATCGAGTTTTTCTAGCTCAGGGTAGAAACAGCTGCTTAGTGTATGTTATGTCCTGAGGGCAGTTGATGTCGCCATTTGTGTAACTATATCCCCTTTCTTCAGACTCAACCACCAGCTGCGGGCCTTGAGAGGCTTAGATCCACAAGCTGTTTGCTTACAAAAAAGCGGTGGTCCATACTTTAACACTGCCCCCTCCCAAGGTTCTTGTTCACATGGATAATGTTGATACCTCTTTTAGTCTTTTGTAGGGCAAAGTTTTTCAAAGGAGAGGACTACAGTTGTGATATTAGAAAGTAACAATCAATGACTATCTACACTAACTGGGACGTTTGAAGCTAAAAAAGCTACTCCAGTAGAAGTCGACAAGCTCAGACAGAGCTTGGGCAGAACTGTGCTGGCGTACAGTGTGTCATATTTTTGCCTCTAGCATTAATGTAAAAACTGATTCAGCAAGCATTCTCTTTTTGGAATGGGTGAGAATCCACCCTCCTTTTTATCACTTTGCCATGAAAAATATCTTTTCTGCCTGTGTGTGGAGATACCAAGAATATTTTGTCCTACATTAAATGATCTACTTGGTGTATCAGGAGTGTCTTACAACATCTAACAGGATTAGGTTGTATGTGAGAGTAATTAGCCTAACTGTGTGTAGTATATCAAAAGACCCTAAGCCCCACTTTCAAACACGTGCACCAGCTCACATATTTCTAATGTGTTGCAAAAGACCCTGACCACAGTTGGCAGTGTGCTCTGTTGATGTCTGTTCCCTCTGCTTATGAAAACAAACATTTTTCTGTTAGAACAAAACAGTCATCATTTAGCAAGATATCGAATTATCTGCTATATCCGGATTGGGTTCACCAAACCAGAAATTTTATTGTCTTTTAGATCTCTGGATGACCGCTAACAAACTTTCCTTTTCCCTTCTCTTCTACCCTGAATCCTCTGACTATCCTGTTCCCCCGTTATATTATCTATTTCTCTCCATCTGCCTTTCTTCGCCCTACCAGGAGGATGATGTCAAAGTTAAACAGGAGGAAGAACTTAGCCCACTCACTCAACTGGCTCACAGTTCCACACTGGAACAAGAGGTAAGGTCCTGGTTGGTCACAGTTGACTTCATTTGTACTTGTAGTCTGTTGAAATCAGTGTTTAAAAAAAGTCCCTCTAATGAAAAGTAGCTATACTGGAGTACACACTACAGTGTCTGTCACAAGACCGTGTTGAGAGTGACATTATTTTTTAACCAGAAGATCACTTTCTCACATCACTTCATCACTCAAATTGCACCATTCTAATAACTGGCTGTTTTGCTAACACTGTGTAAGATTAGGGATATTAAAGCATGATAATGACTGTTTGTTTCACAGGGAAGGACCTAATTTCCTTTTCCTAATAATCTATACAGCTAGCATTGACACAAATATTTTAATTTACATTGGAGATACCACTTTGGCAACAGACCGTACCTGTGTCAGTGCTGTATTGTATGCATTTTTGGTTTTTGCCTATTTCAGAGTCTGCTTGAAGGCATCACCACTCTGTCTGATCCAGCACAACCTCCTCCCACCATTGATATTGACCAGCACTGGAGCAATTTACTCTCCCTGTCTGTTACTGACCTTGATGTAAGTTGTCTGAAAATTAATTTTACACAATGCTTAATATCAGTTTGTAAACAGTATTTCAGATGCATCAGCTGGAAACCATCAGTTACAACAGCAAGGTTTAGTGTCTCATGATGATCTACATGTTGAGGAAGATTTTCAAAAGTACGAACACTAACTTCTGTTAAAATGTACGTCTTGCGTGTAGGACTTGGACTCCCTTGTTACTGAGCGTCTGTCAGATCTCGACACAGACATCACCAGCGCAATCAGCCAGGATGTCAGTTTGCATGATGCTATGGTAACCAATGCTGGAGTGTTTGGTGGGGTGTCTGAAAGAGTTGAGTCCAGGCCAGTCACCCAACAACAAAGAGCCCTCTTCCGACTGGAATCCACAGGCTCCTCGCACTTGGATACGTCACCAGGGATGGCAGTGGGCCTGGCTGCTCTCCCCTTTGCTTCAGTATGTAATATGACTGGAAACGTGTCACAACATAGTGCACTGGGTGGCTGTCTGGATGAGGCAGTGTTTGACCAGATCAATCAGCTTGGTTTGGAAGGCCTGGACACCATAGACACCCAGCTGATGGGCTGTTTGGAGAGCATAGACCCACAGGTTCTCGAGGACTTGGACTCAGACTCTGGTCTCTCCTTGGAGAGCAGCTCTGGAGGTCCAGTCTCCCCAGGTTGGTTCAGGTCTTTATAAATACTTGTAGATTAAATGTCTTTATTGCCATGGCTTGTGAAGGCAAGAAATTGTTTTAGACATACTACTAATAACAATAATTAACTTCTCACTCATGCAGGCTCATCCGAGATGTCATCGTCATCCAGTTCATATTGTGAGGATGAGTGTGGAGCTACAGGCTACAGCAGTGAGGTGGATTCACTCTCCACAAAAGGCATCGTGGACTACACCACAACATGGTCACCCATTGATCTTAGTGAGAGTGTGTGGCATGACCACACCTACTCATCTCCTGCTTTCTATAACCAGCCATCAGTAACACTTCCCCACAAAGGTGTTAAAGAGGAGCCTCTAAGCGATGATGATGGGCAAAGTTTAGATGAGAGGGAGCTGAGTCGTGATGAGTTGCGCGCACGTGCAATGTTTATCCCGTTCTCTGTTCTGCAAATTGTCAACATGCCAGTGGAGGAGTTCCTGGAGGTCCTCGACGGTCATGGCTTCTCCCCTGAACAGGTGACACTCCTGAGGGACATCCGCAGGCGGGGAAAGAACAAACTGGCAGCACAAAACTGCCGGAAGCGCAAACTAGATGCCATCACAGGGCTCCAGGAGGAGGTGGAAAGGTTGCAGGCTCAGAGAGACAGGCTACTGAGGGAGAAACAGCTTACAGCCAAGACAATGGGTGCTGTGGGCCAGCAGATTAAGCAGCTGACCAGAGATGTCCTGGCCCGGCTGAGGGATGATTCAGGACAGCCCCTGAACCCAGAAAGATTCACCCTGCAGTGCGGGGCTAACGGGAGGGTTGTAGTTCAGCCTGTAAGACAACCTGCTGTCTCCAAATCAACTGGCAACAACACAGACAAGAGAAAGAAGGAGAAAAAACAATGATGCAGTATTGCCAGCTGAGACTTGAACTTTTAGGTTTTTGGATATTTCTGAACTCACTTGCTTGACTCTGGTTTTGGGATCTCCTCTTTTGTAAAAGTGTGTGTGGATTCACCGCTGTTGGGAGCCTAAATCTGCAAAAGCTGCAAAAAGAAAAGAAACTCAGAACATTAAAAAAAAATCTGTAAATAAAATTTCTCATGGGGAAAAATGTAGCTTACACACTGGACATTTCTTTGCTTAAAGATGGACATAGCACCCGGGCAGTTTAAGACAGCAGCTAAGCTGCTAGCTATGCTACCAGTCTCTCTTTGTACCTGTTAACGTTGAAGTTATTGAGTCTTAACGTTTTTACAGACAAGCGTAGACAACCAGACATGTCTAGAAGTGAACATGGCCAGCATTGTGACAGTTACTGGATAGAGACCTAGGAGGAGGACTCTGTTTGTTTGTTTTCATGTAATCTTGCCTCTCAGTGTGAATCTGTTAATTTGTATTTATTAAAGTTTTTGGGGTTCCTGAAATGCTTAAATGCATCATGAGACTGTCCAGGGCGGTATCATAATGGTAAGTTTATTTCAAGTAATAAAAAAATTGGAACATTACCTAAAGTTTACATATTTGTTTCTGATATTTGAGGGCATGTACTGTTGAGTAGAAATTTGAACTGAAATGTAAAAGAAAAAAGATTTTGTTGTTTCCTTATGTCTAGATGGCATACAATATACCAATGATTAAACTGACAAGGCCTTAATTTGCATTCCATAAGTGTGTTCGATATTGGTGTGTGCGGGGGTGTGTGTTTGTGTGTACATTATTCACAGATGCACATTATCATGACAAAAATGATTTTAAGAGGCTACCGTTTTATGTTTCAAGCACAATTTAGCTTAACAATTAAAGAGTTTTGCCAAGATTATATTCTACCTCATGCTTAAGTTATAAATTCTGGATGAATAAAAAACATTTTAGGGGAACTTAACTGGTCTCATTAAGTACAAATTCTTCATTATTAAAGTGGACTTTAACCATCCCATTTCAGAAAAAAATGTATTAGTCACTAACTCTATTTAATACGACATTGTGTCGTATTTTGGATGTTAGTTTTTTACATATTTGAGATTATGAGAGTTTCATTATTTTGTAAAAGTTTTCATCTTATTTATGGGCACACCACTTAGTACAATCAAATGAGTCGGTGAGTTAAAGTAGTTAGTATTGTCACTCATTAAGTATTTTCTATACTAGTCACTCATACATTTGTATTGAATTGACCAAGAGTTTCCTTTGCTGTTTGTTTACACGTAAAACTGTTTTTCTTTGCAAATGTTTTTGATTGCATGGTGAGTTTTCAATGTTGACAGAATGATGTTACTTAAGGAATGTGAAATGCTCTTGCAGACATTGTCTTTATTATTTAAAAAAAAAAAAAAGAACAGATTGTCTCATTCTTGTGCTACTGTTTCAGGAGCATGACTACTTATACGTTTTGATGGCAGAATGGACTTTATTTTTTATAAACATTTGCGGCCTTGAATACGTATTCACAGCATTTGAAGGGCGGAGGGTTAAGACTAAATGGCACCTAGCCACGAGGCACAAAAAAAGAGCGAATCGCGTTTTCCTTTAAGGCTTCCGTAGAAGAGCCACGATTAGCTTTTGGCGCCCGACCTACAGTGTTACAGACAAAAGCTAAAGGGAAGGCAGACCGCGTGGTAAGAAGGCATCAGTGAGGCTACTTCTGTTTTTTCTTAGTGTGCGTATCCAGAAATCATTTCTTTTTAACGCTGCATCATGCAAAACGTAACTTAGTGTACATTCTGTTGGTCGACCTAAGCAAGCTAACGGTAGCTTTGTTTCACTAGTTGGACCTTGTAGCAGTCAACGCAGTTTGCGCAGAAAAAGTGAGCATAACGTTAACTTACTTCCAGTAGTGTTAGCTAGTTACAATGTTTATCGTTAAGCCTGCGTGCGTGAGTACATCTTCTGTGTATGCTAATGTATCTTACAGTATACTACATTTCCTTTGACTAACGTAACAATAACGTCAGTTAGCTAAATGTAGAAATGTGTTCCGTGTGATTTAACTAGTTGTATTCTCGGGCCTTTATGCTAACTTGAGCGATTTTTGTCTGGTGGTAACCTTAATTTTCTTATCGAAGTTGCTAATGAACAGTTAACATAACTACTTGTTTCTTCACACCACGCATCTTAACGTTGCTTCGCAGATAGCACAGTAGAGTCAAGCAAATAGTCTGTAACGTTACATAGGCTTGAAATAGTATCAGCTAACTTACAGTTAGCTCGCTAGCTAACCTACGTAACGCCATCTCGTGATTTTTGCTAGCTTTGAGTATTTTGCACAAGTTAACGTTATCTAACTTGGTTAGCAACTTAGTAACGTTATTCTAATAGTATTTGTGTACTGCCATGTTTGTGTATGTTACCGGGTAACGTTACTTCTCAGTTAGAATATCAAGTTACCGCTATGAGTTTGTTTATGACCCCTTTAGCTGTGGCTGATATTGGACATGTCGGTCTATTGGGTTTCTTCCCTTACACTTAACGTGGATAACGTTAAAAGCGTCAGCTTTATGCCTATCCATGTCAGTTATTGGGGATACACTGCAAAAAGAGTTAAAGTTCTCACACTTCTTCTCGTTTTAGTGAACAACATGGGCAAGAAGCAGAATACCAAGGGTAAGAAGGATTCGCAGGAGACACAGGAAGAACCTGAGGAATTTGTTGTGGAAAAAGTACTCGACCAACGTATTGTCAATGGGAAAGTAGAATTCTTCCTGAAGTGGAAAGGATTTACAGAGTGAGTTGCCTGGGACACCTGCCCCCGCTGAGCTGGAAGTGCTTCCCTGGTATGGGGTTGTGCTGTGCTTTTGTTCAGTCGTTTTCATTGCATGAATAAACTGCCGTTCTGCATACAAGCTAATTTTAAAGTAAAAAATATTGTTTGTATCTGTATCATTGGACTGCGTTAAGGGATGTTTTGAGATGCAAACGCTGAGCCTCTTCCTACTCATTTAGTGCGGACAATACCTGGGAGCCAGAGGAGAACCTTGATTGTCCAGAGCTGATTTCAGGGTTTTTGGAAGCACAGAAGAATGTTAAGGAGAAGCCTGCTCCCGTTAAGAGGAAGGCATCAACAGATGAGCCAGAGACGGAAGCCAAGAAGAAGGATGTGGTGAGTTCACTAATGGTTTCACCTGCCTATCTGAACAGCATTTTACTTGAGAGAAGATGCCTATTGAAATTAGCAGTCCTCCACAAGAGGTTCATTTCTCAAGATTCATAAAAATGTAAACGTTACCTTGTTTAGGCTGCACAAAAAATGTTAATGCAACATTGTTACACAATATTATAGGTGCAACGAATGTTCGGCAACTGAAATTAATTGGCCGAGAATAGCAAAAAATGCTCTCAGTAGGTATAAGTTAAAAGAGAATTAACTTTACCGAACAATTACGTTGACATGTTGGCAGTGTGGAAGCATTTTAAAGTGTCAGAGAAGGATGCAAAAATCACTGTTTGCAGACACTGTTCTGCTGAATTGTCTCCTAGCGCATCCACACAATCGGTGGCTGACTTCTTAGGAAAGGCAACAAACAGTTTGACCTGCTTTGAGTATTGCTGTTACTCGTTTCTGAGAAGGTGATTAAGCTAGCCACACCTAAATCTGGAGTGCACACGTATTTAAGCCTTTATGGCAAATCTACTGAAACGGACCAGTACGAGCTGACAGGCAGGTTTGCGACTTTATGCTGTCATTTTCTTTTTACAAAGACAAGTATTGCAGTATGAGAGTTCTACCTAAAGAGAGGCTGTGAAGTCTTAATGTTACCTGGTATGAGAACCAAACAACATTATTTATCAAATTGGGTTGGACTTGACAAATTTACCGCAAGGATACACATGTGACAATGTCTATACAGGATGTAAATTGGATTATATTCGCAGAAGGTATAAAACATATTACATGTGTCCATTAAAAGTAAATGGACACATGTAATTCACTTTACTGGACCAATGAGCACATAAAAAGCACATCTTGACTATTTAAATTATGCAATGGTTAAAAAAAAAAAAAAAAAAAAAAAAAAGGCAAAATAAATGGGGGGAAAAATTGAAAAACCTTGTTCGGTATTCGGGAAAGTTTTTCATTATTACATTTCGACTTTGGCCAATAATTTTGGTGCGTCCCTATATGATATGTATTTAAAATATCCAAATATCCCCATATCAATAAATATTTAAGTAAGACCTGTTATTGAAATGCTGTAGCTACTGACCCTATCCTGGAATGAGCCTTAAACAAAGCATGAATCATGTGTTCTGTCATCACCACTTATAGGCTGAGAAGCCACGTGGCTTTGCAAGGAACCTCGACCCAGAACGGATCATTGGCGCAACAGACAGTAGTGGGGAGTTGATGTTCTTGATGAAATGGTGAGTACAGAATTAAATAATCCTTTTAATATGCAAAAGGTTCAGACTGTCGTGTGGGTTATATTCCCATCAGTAAGTCCGTTACTGCTTGCTTGTGATGATACTCTGTAATATTTTTCTCTCTTGTATTTTACTTTAGGAAAGACTCAGATGAAGCAGATTTGGTCCCAGCCCGTGAGGCCAACACTCGCTGCCCTCAGGTGGTGATTTCCTTCTATGAGGAGAGACTGACATGGCATTCCTGTCCAGAGGATGAAGCTCAGTAGTACTTCCCTCTGGTCCCTACAGTCCCTTGCACCACCTACGCCCTTTCCTCAGGACTGAATGTTTCTCATTTGGCTTGCCTTCTAGTTTTAGCTGTCTTAGTTATTTTTGAAGATGTTTCAACCCTCGCATTGTGTCAGTCAAGGAGAGCTATGATGTACATATTAGCTGAACTGATTCTGAGAGCAGGGGATGGTGCTGTGATGTATACTGAAGTCTTCCAGTATCATGATTTCTGTGATGGCAGTTTGGAAAGCACACTCTCGGATAGAACCCACCACCGCCCATGTTCATACCTGGTAAAATTTAGTAAATTCTGAATGGTGACTTTGCTCTGTTAAGCTCTCCACCACCTCTTGTATAACCATCTCAATCTCATGTAAGAATTTTTTTTTTTTGTTTTTTTTGTGGTGGTGTTTTTGTTCCACACTAGTACTAATGTTTTGTTCTAAAAGTGCATTTTGTATACTCTGCCTGTAAATATTATTTGAAGTTCTAATAAAGGTTTTATGTGACCAAATTCCACTGCTTATTTTTTATGGTTCCAATGAAGTACAATATGTATACATATCTATATTTTACAACTTAATTTGTTGTTTAGATACGTTGTCGAAAGTTAGAAAGGGTAAGCTTAACCTTCTGATAACATTGTTTATTATTTGGATCGCTAAATGAATGTCCCTGTCACATTTCCTGGACAAAGTTTTCAAGGTTAACTATTTATTTTGTCTGTGTTGCAATTTAGGTTTATTCAGGCATGGTATGGCGGTCCGGACCTTGTACATGTTCACGTGTATATCCTTGCCTTGGTGCCAGCAAGCACAAAGAAAGCTTTATATGATGATACAACTGTTGGTTTTTATCACAAATGACAGCATGTTTCAGTTAGCCCTAGTTTGTGACTTCATGTTTGACCTTTAACATAGCATGTTTTTTCCTTTTGTTGTCAGCACATGACAAGTCAGGAGGTCTAAGATCATACAGAATACTGCTTCAGTACTGAAGAACCAAATCATGTTCATTACTGGACTAATACTAACCAGCATCAGCACACAAGGGAACATACTATATCTCTGTGGCCAATCTACATATTTTTACTTGTGGGTAGCACAGCAAAGTTATGAGACAATAGTGCTTCAGACTTCATACTTTCCCCGTGCATTGGCTCTTTAATACCAGTTAATTTACACCTATAGAAAATGAGAAGCTCAATAATTGTGATACATTGCTATAGTTTCAACAACCCAGCATTACCGACCAGTAGTATAATCAGAAAAAGTCCCTCTTTTATTTTGTCATTTGGCATTAGCCACCAGAATAAATCATTTCCCCTGCCAAACTGTGGCAACACCCTCTCATTCCTTATCAAAGCTCGGTACTAACAAATGGCTGCGATCTCTCCCTCCGTGTCCACATGTTACCAAGGTGGCATGGCTGTGTCTGCAGCAGTGTGGATAACAGTCTCATGACTGGCATTAGGGCATGAGAGATGGACTTCGGACCTTTGTGTATTAGTGTAGATGAAGTTTCCAAAGCAACTCACACGGTTTTTGTTTTCTGGAGAAAAATCCCTCACGACACACCCCTAAACAGCCAAAGTGACATGGGTCTCTTCTAAATCAGGGCTTGTAATCTTGAACAACCAAAACATGTTTTGGATCTTAATATGTTTAGTTCCAAAAAAGTTGATAAAAAAAATCAGTTGAAAGCTATTCAATTCCTACTTAATGAAAATTAAATTAAATTACAGTGGCAAACAGACATTTTCCTAAAAAACATGTCTTTATATTAAAGAACACTATAGGATGAAAGAGAGCAGGTTCATGTAGACATATTTTATGCGAAAGGAAAGCAAAGAGAAGAGATTAAAAAAGCATAAGGAAGTTTATTGATTAAGTCAAACCTCTAATCAGAGCAGTCATCACTTGTGGTAATCTCTTCATACACATGATAGCTGTACAATGAAAAGAGGAATCAACCCATGATCAAGCTGATGGTAATGGCCACAGACTAAAGACCAAAGCTGAAGAATTGTAGTATATACAGTATATTTCTTAATGGTCAATCTGAGTGAAGAAAAGGAATTTGTGTTAACATTCCTGACATGATGTAATCCATTGAGCAGATTCTTGAGTCAATATCTTTTCTTCAACATTTTTTGATTTGTACTTCTTAGCCATTAAGACAATTTGATTATATAGAGACTCGATAATGTAATCATTGAAGTAAATTGCAGAAAAACCTTTTATCCGCTGACTTGCCCTAAGTTAAAACAACCTTTATATGTAAATTAACAGACCTTAACCTCCCTTCAATACCTTTACTTGAGGTAGAAGAGAATTCATTTAAGGCCACGTCCCACCAGTTGTGTTTACCTCCACTCCTCAGCTGGAAAGGATTTTGGAATAGACTTCTGAGGACTTTGGTGAGAGCTTGATTTTATTCTTAAATATAAACCATAGTTGCAGGCAGTATGTGCACAAGTGGTGATATTATACTTGACATCGTGGTAGTACTGTGTGGTGTGGCCTTGAATTTATAGGGATTATTCTGTGTAGGAGAGTAACATTATCAGAAAGTGATTGAAGCAGATGTTATATGTGAGGGTTTGGCAACTTGAGGGAATACTGAATTGAGAGTGAGACAAAAAAACCCCAACAACCTTGGTGTAGTTTTAAGAAAGACATTCAACATAAAAACTACACAACACAATTTGGGATTCAACATAAAATATTTGCAATAAAATCAGGGCATTAGCCACCAAAACTAAAGTCTGCAGGGAGAATTCTTTTACTGATTTTATTCAGTTTAATGTTCAGTTAGTCTGTAATTTGTATTTCCAAACACTTTGAAAGTCTTCTCCACACTGCCCATAATGCGAGTCTGGTTGACAGTCCTCAATGTGACAGTCCTGAGACAAAGGTTTAGGTTGAATATTGATTATACTTATGATCTGAATTAAAAAAATAAAGTGTAATTTTCCATGCAGTGAATTTTGATTTACATCTTATAAGAAGAAAGACTGCGTGAACAATACAGCAGATACGTTTTCTTTTGTTTTACAAACACTGAGATGGACAAAAAGTTTGAAGGACTACTAATAATATAGGTAAATAGCTTCCACGAAATGGACTGACTTTATTTTAAACATGCATGTTTATAGGTTAGGCTATGGCACCTAAATTGGCATTGTAAAAGAAAAGAAGAAAGCTTAAACATTCAAAACTCAACAATGTCAATTTAATATCTCAGCTCCAGTCAACAGCAATAAGTAGGCAAACACAAAGAATGGATGCTTATGTTCGCGTCATTCAACCATGCTGTTTCTTTCCACGACACCGCCATAGTTCCTCCCACCAGGTGATACCAATTGAACTGATCCCACCCAGTGATTTAGGGACAGGTGCGCTTTGAGACTACAGCAAACACGTTTCTCTCAAGAGGGATATTGTTGTCTCTCCGCGCAGCTTAACACGTAGAACAGGCGTCGCGGCTGAGGTCACACTGAGTGGTTAGCAGCAGTGCCGTCCAGGCAGGGCTGAGACTCCAGGCACACCACTGAGCTGCTCAGAAGGGAAAAGGTAGGATCAAGTTGGAATTTGAAAATCAAATGAGATCACAGTGTTTTGGTGCGTCTGTGGTAGTTTGTGCTTAAGGTATTTATCTCCCAAAGGCAGTTAAAACGTTGGAACTTCGTTTTTTAAATTTTTTTTTTAATCGATTGTCAATACTAACAGAGTTTTTGCTGTTTACAATGAGTTGGATAATTATAGGCTATTAATTTTGATTTTTTTCCTTTTAAACTAGTAGGTATTCTTTATCAGTGTTAGGCTACATGAAGTTGCTGTTACACTTTGGCTACTTAGTTTAGTTGTAATACTTGTATAGTAAAAATGTGAGTAGGTCGATATTTATTTATGTTGGCTATTAGGCTACACTACACAGCCTAATCGGGTTCTGCAGATGTGAATGCCTTGTTTCTGCCCATCCTGGATCAGCGCTAAAAAATATTTATAGGGGGTTTGTAAAATCACTGACTTATGCCCTGACCCTGCATAATGGCAAACCAAAGTAATGTGACTGTATTTAACATTTTAATGCTTGGAAGTTGCTATGTAGAGATTTCCTTACAGCATCGTGTTGTTCCCATTTGGCCTGATGAGATCGTGTGCAATGTATTGATTTCCTTAAACAACAGTAGCTCTTTTTTTTTTTTTTTTTTTTTTTCCCTCTTAAGTCTAGGACCTGGTGAGTGATTGTAAAGCACTGCTACCATAACAATCAATTGCCCTGAACAAAAACACACAGTAGGGCATCTTATTACAGGGTATATCCAGCTAGATCATTATACTGTATGATTTCACATGAAGTTTTCTGCGAAGTCAGTTGAGTTTGAGGTAGCCTCAGGACTTTGTTTTCAAACATCGTTTGCCCTTATTGATTAGCTCTGCTTGTACTTGCAGCTTGTAAATGTCATGTGTCTCAATAAGGTGTCAAGGGGCTGATGGTTCAGCACATTGCTGATATGCCTGGCATGTGAGGGAACACTATTGTAGAATCCTTTATAGAAAAGTTGTATGTCACATTTGAACATGAATTTCCCCATGCGGTCTCTAATCCAAGAAGAAAATGGGCGTTTTAAACAATTTTGCTTTGCTTGAAAATGTTGTCTCATATTGGCAAACTTGCATCATAATAGGTGGTTATTCAGTGAACTGGAAAAGGGCTGGCTGGCTGGCTTGCCTGTATTTCTGCCTAGTGTGCCAGAACAAGCCTTCTTATCGTGTTGTGAATCCATATTAAGGGTCAAGATTTCCCCTTCAAGCAAAATCCTCCCTTACCCCTTTGTTCCCAATTATGCTACATCAGCTCCAAATGTTGGCACTTTTTTTTTTGAGTTCTTAAAGCATTAATCACCAGGCAGGCCTGTGCTTGTACAAAACAGATCTAGCATTAAAAAAACAATGGACTTTGGCTGCCAGGACTGGTTATTACTGTTAAACTTTTTTTCTGTTTACTATGTTTAAGCTGTCTTTTATTGAAATGTTACATCATAGACATTAACTAAAGTCACTTTTTTTTTTTTAAAAACTCTGTAAAAAAAACTAATTATCGCATGGGTCACAGGTAACTGTATTTGTGCTAAAATAAGACATTTGCAAGTTGAAGCAGACTCTATTTTTCTCTCTGACAGGTTTGTGTATCTACTATGGACAGTATGCTAGAAAATCTCGCAAAAACTGTAAGTCATCAAGCATGCTTCTTCACACTGTATATTTCTGTTTGTTGTTGTTTCAACTGGTTTTGACATTTTGATATCCCAAAATCGAGGGCCAGTGGAATATACAGATGGGTGGAAAATTACAGGAAAAAACATGACATTTCTTAGCGGTGCCCAACAAAATATTCCCTCATTTATATACACAACCTTTTTATTTAATCAGGTAATCTCATTGAGATCAAGATCTCTCTTGCAAGAGACCAGAGTACAGCAGAGAAGGGGGGGGGGGGACAAATATA